ATGCTCGACCCTACATGCGTGTATAAGTATGCATGTGTATATATGTACGTATGTATATATGTATATATGCATATATGTATATATGTATATATGTACATATGTACATATGTATGTATATAGATATGCATACATGTATATATGTATATACGTATATACGTATGTATGTATGTATGTATGTATGTATGGGTGCTGTGCAGGGAACCTGAGCCCTAGACCCTCCCCCACCCCGCCTTAAGCACCAGCAAGTTGAAAGTATTGGGTTCAGCACGCGCCAAAGTTATGTTCTCTTTTTGTTGGTGTTGTTCCTTTTTTGGAGCCTTGTATTCTTGGAGAGTACATTTAGAGACTAAGAGATGTGAATGTTGCCAAGCACCAGTTCTGGGCGGCCACAGAATTGAATTTTAGACCCCTAAACCCTAAACCCCCAGCCCGACCTCCTCAACCTGAAACGTCCACAAGAGCTCGGTGGATTTTTCTGTTTCAATTTGGGGGTTTCCCGAATGTAGGGGTACCATCTTGAGGTCCCAATAATCCGGAGCATATAGGGGTCTATATTGCGGTCTCCCAATTTTGGGAAACTACCACTTTTGTTTGAAGGGATACATGCATGGCGTGCATAATCCCTGCGTCCAGCTTTCAGGTTCTTCAGGCTTGCACTTCGTGAACGGTTTCATGATGTCCCTAGTGGCTCTTCTCATGTCTTTGCCTGACACTCCTATTTATAGGTGATCCCCCCGCCATTAATAATCAATTAATCCAAAGTATTCTGGGACGTATTTCCCGGCACTAATGTTCTCATCGCGCCATTATCTGGGCTGGGGGTATTGGGTCGCAGGCATCGCCACCCACAAAGGCTGGAAGTGCGACTGGGCTGTAGTGGATGGCAGTGACTTGGTGCTTGTTGGGAATCAGGGTTTACTTTTTGCTGAGGTTGCTTCAGAAAAGCATGCGTAGATGTTTAGATGCGATATACCCCTCCCAAGAATTCAATTCTGGATTGTTACACTAGCCAGACTATTTTCAAGGTGACGGGAAGACCGTCATCGCTTGGTGTCCCTTCAAGTATACTTTGGAAGCGACTGGAGAGGCGTTTGGGGAATACTTGTTTCATACTAGGCCCATGCTGACCGTTGCTTTAGGAATAGGCAGTATACTGGATGGTATGTGAAGAACCTGAAATCAACTGTCCTAATATCGGTGGGTATAATGAGTTTACTTACAGGAAGCCTAACTTTGCCTCCTGCACAGGTGGTCTCCAGCACTAGCATGCTCAAGTACGAGTTCGATGACGCAGGTCTAATCATCGGTTATTTTCAGGAGTTTGACACGTCCAGGTTTGCCAATGGGAAGAGCCTTTCCTTCTCTGCAGCTGCCCCATCTGGGATCGCCTCGTCAGGGGCCATGATGCTCATCGCTGGGACTGTCTTGGGGAGTCTGGGTTTGCTTCATTTTTTCTTTTTCATGTCCGAGAAACCTGGAGTTGTATAGGGATTATGGGCTTATAGTATGTTGGGGTTGTATAGGGATAATGGAAAATGAAATGGAAACTACCATTTAGGGTTTAGGATTTAGTGATTAAGATACTACCTCCAAACAAGGGCCTTGATTTTTACGCACGATGGTCATGGGGACGGAAGGTCGTACTGAGGTAGGAATACTGCGACAGGACAATGCCTTCCTGATAGCCAATGAATGCCTGATAATCATGTTTAAGGTGCGGGATTACAACGGGAGTGTTGGGGGTCCTTTTTGGGATTCTGTAGGGGTTGACAAGTATGGTAGTTTCCCGATATGGGGGACCCCCCAAAAAGGTACCCCTGTTTTTGGGAACCCCCTTTTCCCTGGGTTTCCCTGGAGGGCATCTGTTTTGAGAAGCTGCCAGTAGGGAATGAAGACACAAGGCCAGAGCTAAATCCTAGCCTACATCCTAAACCTTGAGCCTTAAATTCTACACCCTGAATCCTACACCCTAAATCATAAACCCTAAGGCCCTAAATCCGAAAGCCCAAGCCCTGGATTCTAAGCCCTACAGCCTACACCCAAGGCCCGGAATCCTAAATCCTGAGCCTTTAATCCTAAGCCCTAAGCCCGAACTCCTAAATCCTACACCCTGAATCCTAAACCTTAAATCCTAAAGCCTATGCCCGAAATCCTAAATCCTAAGCCAAACCCTAGCTCCTAAGCCCTAAATCCCAAAGCCTAAGCCCTAAATCTTAAACCGTAAAACCCCAGGAGTGCTGCCACCACAGCGTTATCCTGGGCTCGATCAAAGCCAGAGCATCTCCACGAAGGCTATGGTCCTTGTGACTGATGCTGCGGAAGGCAGACCCAGACCCCCTAAAAGATCCAAAAACTGGGACCCCCTAATAATTCCCCTAGTTTCCCCAATGTAGTAATGGGTTCATATTGGGGGGTTCCATTTTTTGGATCCTTTAGGGGGTCTGGGGAGCAGGTGAATGAACCCGTAGTGCTGGCATATGAGGCCTTTAAAGACTTGCATGGAGTTTTGGGCTTTGAGGATTGTGAGCTTAGGTCAGTTTAGGGCTTCAAGGAATCAGTGGTTAAGCGAAGGCTTGACGATTGCATGTAGGTAACCTTACACGTATATTATACCTGATATGCTCCAGCAACACAGGGTGCCGTGAAATTCGCGTGCAGCAGTTGGGCGAGAAGGCCTTGGACGGCCCTAAAGAAGGGGCCACAACTCTTATAGAAGGTAGCGTTTTTTTGAAGGTGTTTGGTGGGTGTATAGGAGAGTTACGCAACATAACTCTATGTCATCCGAATGAGGATCCCTTTTAGCCTTGTGCAATTCCTACACGCATTTCGGCAATGCAAATCCTACCTTGTAGCTCTGCCACGCGAATGCATTGCTATGCCGAAGAATCCCATGCAAGGTGTTATCTGTCTTGCATTGTAGCACACCACATGACATGATGTGATAATTGCGGATGCTTTCATATCAGCCATGTGAGACAGCACCAGATTGTACAGTAGAATTACTGGGTTACTTGTAAGGAACTTACTCTAGGATACTATATTGGGGAAACCATATTCATTGATATACACATTATGGTAACTTCATTTCAGCTCCTTAACAGCAACCCGGATTATGTGGGAGCTTTCCCTTTGTGCTCCACCAAATCTTCTCGTCCTTATTATCCCAAAAAGGGGCCGGAGATCTCTGGAACACCCCATATCGGTTCTTGACCGCGCTCACGAAAATGCACAGAGAAAAGAATTCAGATCTGATGGTTTAGTTGCAGGTTTCAGGGTTTAGGCTTTAGGGTTAGTGCTTGCGCAATTGTACTACTATGGGACCCTAAACCCTAAGCTCTAAACCCGGGAAGAAGCCCTTCCTCAACGCTTTCTCTGGTGAGTCTCCTCTGGGGTTCTCTGACTCTATTTCCGAGCTGGTATATGGAGGTTTCCTAAAATTATGGGTGCCCTTTGGGGGGTCCCCATACTAGGGACTACAATATATATGGGTCTATAGTGGGGTCCCTTATTTAGGGAAACTACCATATACCGACAAAGTGCAGACTCAGGCTAAGCGGCTAAATCTTGCTGACACAGATGGCGACGCCTCCACACCCTAAGTCCTTAACCCCAAGCCCTAAGCATAGGGGTATATAGGGGTAAATGGAGGCATATAGGGTTCAGGGTTTTGGCTTTGCAAGATTCGGGATATTAGCCGTATGATGGAGAACCCGAGGAAAAAGAACCGCATGGAAAGGAACATGGAAAACTACATGTAAATCGGGATGATATGGGTGTTTCTAGTGTTAAGGGTTTCCTTTCGAGGCGTTCTTTTGAACCTACCCGCGATAAGGATCAGCGTTGATTGCGGTAGATGCGAGCTACCCCTGTTTCTGGCAACTATCGCTCCAGCCAAAAGGTTTAGGTTGGTTCGGGCACTCCACGCAGGAATAGTGGTGTACTTGGTGTATATATATATATATTTTTTTTTTTATAGAGGTATGGTTAATGTAGTTGAATTACACCCGTGTGGTCCCTGTCAGTGGGTGTGGCCTAACCCGAGGTTGAGAGTTTAGGGCTAAGATCCGGCAACTCTCCGAAACTAAGCCCTAACCGTCCGTATCCTCCTGCTGGCTTTTTTGGAGCCCAGAGGGCCAAGCTAGGATGTAAGCCCAAAGGCATCCTGCAAAGACTGCTACGGGTTTACTGAAGAGAGGGGCTATTTAGAAATACCACCCTCTTCCCCCCCAGGTTCACCTTAGTTAGGTTTATCTAGGCCGAATGAAACCTAATAAAGGGGGATCCTAATGGGGTTCAGTAAAGAGAGGGCTCGTTTAGAAAGTTCATAGCGTCCCTAAACCCTAAACCCCTTAACCCTAAACCCTAAACCCCTAACCCTAAACCCTAAACCCTAAACCCTAAACCCCTAAACCCTAAACCCCTTACGAAGCGTTTGGCTGCTACCTCCAAGCTCGGGTGGGCGCAATGGCTGCTGTCGAGGCAGCTTTTCGGGCTTCAAGGTTCTGGGGTTATAGGTTTAGGGTTTAGGGTTTAGGGTTTAGTCCCCCTTAAGATCCCTTAAGTAGATAGACTATGGCTTTAGGTATATTATATTAAGATCCCCTTATATCCCATATTCTATCTACTTAGAGGGGACTACAACTTGGTCATTGCTACTGCCTAGTCTTCAGTTGGTAGGAACGTGACTTTACCCCTGTATCACTCCCATCATCATTGACTCATTGGCATGGTTGCTTCTCTGCTAGCGTCAGTGTACAGTGTGTGGGGCAGAACGGAGAATTGAGGTTGAGGGGTTGCAGGGACCCGAAACGCTAAAACCTAAACCACCCTAAACCCTAAACCCTAAACACCAAACCCTAAACACCAAACCTGAAATCCCCATCTCTAAATCCTACACCATAAACATAGGAACCATCCTTTGGGGCCAATTACTTGGGCTTGGGTCTTCTTTCCCGAGGATCCCTGACCCGGAGTGTCTTGAAAGTGAGACGAGCTCCGTAACAAGTGGGAGTGTTAGCAGCTCCTTGTTAATTGTCTTGTTTTTTCTAAGGTTTCTCTGGGGACGCGTATGTTGTGCAGATTTAGTTGAGAAGATATTTTGTTGAAGTTAGGTCATTCCCCCCCCAGTAATGGGTACCACAAGGGATCATGGTTTGTATATAAAAGCCCTATTAGTTCCATATTACGGAGCTGTTGCTATAGGGGATTGACCCAAGGTTCAAGGATGTCTGGAGGTAAGAGTTTGGAGAATGCTTAGATGTAGAAACTTAACTAATTTCCAAGAAAACTCAGAATCCTGTAGATAATATGAGGACAAACCCTGGAAGGAAGGAAGAGAGCAGGAAGGCAGGAAGGAAGGAAGGAAGGAAGGAAGGAAGGAAGAGCGATCTGAGGTTTTATAACAGCTATTTAGAGGTAGATCTGCAACTGGGAAAGGACTATAAAACATATACCATAATCCCTATATCATCGTCCCTGCATCAGTAGGGTTTAAGGTTTAGGGTTTAGCTGATACTAATACTAATCTTAACATTACTGAATATTAATGCTGCTATTAATACTAATACTAAATAAATACGTATTAGATTATTGTTATTGCTAATATTAATAATAACCTTGGCACGAATATTAATATGATTAATGCTAGTAATATTATTCATACTACTTGATATTAATATTATATATATTAATACTAATATTAATACTAATACTAATGTTACTATACTAATATTCATATTAATATTAAGAAAAATATTAATACAAATAGTAATATTAATATAATTAATACTACTAATACTCTGAATACTAGTACTACTAATATTTTTATTATTCTTATCACTAGTGCTAACATTAATACTAATATTCATATTCATATTAATATTAATATTAATATTAGAAGTACCACAGCTGCTGCTACTGCTACTTGTATTGCTACTGCTACGTAATGAAGAGTCTTCTGGCCCTCGATTTTTTGATGCTTATCTATTTTTTGATGTCGGTGAAAGGTGGCCTGAAGGGTTTGAAAAAGGTGTATAAAAGGAAAGCTTTGAAGGTGCTACTATTAGGATAAATGGGGGGGGCTCCGCCCCCCCCAACCCTCCCCGCGGGGGGGGCTGCGCCCCCCCTCGACCCCCCGCCTTGTTTGTTAAGCTGAAAACGAGCGCGGTCGAATTCGAAACTTCCATTCTTCCGCAGAATTGTTATTGTTACTATTATTACTACTACTAGTACTACTACTCTTACTAGTAAGTATTACTAGAAGTACCACCGCTACTGGTACTGCTACTGCTACTTGTATTGCT